ATATATATATATATATATATATATATATATATATATATATATATATATATATATATATATATATATATATATATATACATAAGGATTAGGGAGGAGCTTTGTAAGCTCCTTCCGGGCTATCATGGAGGTATGGCTACTCCTTGGCACTGTCCATTGTATAGGTACTGAAACGTTTTTGTGTTATGCTGTCCATTGTTAGCTTATATCCTCTTCATTGCTTTAATTTTACTTACAAGATTTCGTCATCCCGTTTGTTGGATATTGTGAAAATTTTGTTTGAATGTAACTTTAATTTCCACAATTCGACAGAAAATTTGCATTATGATTTTTGGAGTTTTCCCGACAATATGAGGCATGAGCAGAGGGGAAATGAGGGAGAGAGGCTCCAACAGCACTAGTAGGATCAAGGGCAATATTTTTCTCATCTTGTCCCGATATTTTGTATGTAACAGTGTATCCGAGATAAAATTGTAATTAGGGAAATATAACTAACATAAGTGAATTTCTTCATATTGTAAAAAATAGCGGAGGACAATAAACTCTTTTCGTTTTTCACGTAAAAGTCTGTTTGGCTCGATTATTTTCACGTCCGAAAGGAACTTTCTACAGTCATTAACTTTAGTTGCCTTTGCTTTCTTTTGAATTTGAACTGAGATACAAAAAAATCCGTTATCCGCAACATGAAATATGCGTCTGCGTGTCTGCGTGCGCATTATGAAAATTTTCGACCTGAAATTTGTAAATTATATAAAATTTACGCAAAATGAAACAAGTTTTAATCGGAAGATTACAGTACTTGAACTACTTGAAGGTTAAAAAAACTACGTTTAAGTGGCTAATCGGTTCCGTTCATAAATATCTGGAAGTGGTAGCTATGTTTAGTTGATGCAATCTAGTTCTTAACTTTAAGGATTTGACATCTTACTATTAACATTAGAAGGATTTTCACTGCACCAAGTTTCCTATATATATAAAACCATTTTTAATATTCAATCCCGGTAAGCTTACCGAATATCCTGGTGGGAGGTTACAATTTTCACAGCGTAGATCATCATTTCCGCATCGCTGCGACTAATTAGCTCGAAAGTTGACGTGGAAGTGGAAGCGACGGATTGAGATGTTGAGTCTCGTTTAGCTGGTCTGGTTTGGGGTTCTGCTCGAGTATGAATCAAGCCGAAGGTTTTCAATCAGACTGTCACACTAGTTCATTATTGCAAGAATTTGCCGTTGCCTTATTTGTTTTAAATAAAAAAAAAGTCAACTAATCATTTCTCTGATCACTTGTGTAGTTCTTCACAGTGCATTTTATCTCCTGATCGCTGTAATTATCTGTTTTTTTGCCTTTTTTTTTTTCCAAAAATACCATCCTAGCTGTTTCATTCTATCGGTAGTAGCTTATATCCGTTTTCTCAGTTCTTTTATGGGTTCCAGATTGCAAGTTCTGCTTCTTGATTTACTTTTTCCCTTTCCTGGATATCATCCTGCATTTCGCGGGCACTATTTAACTCGTGAACTTTTCCATCAGTCAAGATATGCTTGTGAAAGATCAAGCTTCGTTTCTGATGATTAATCTACGTGGAAATTACTTGAAGTATAAGCACCGGCTAAAGATACAAACATTGGACATCCTCAGTCTTGCCCTCTATCTGATGAAATGTAAATCCTGTTATGATTTTATGTTAGCTTGTACGAGCACAGATGTTTTGGGAATTTGCAAAACAAACAATGAATTCACAGAAAATGGTATCAAATGGTAAGGTGGTAACCACAACGTTGAAGGCACGATATGGTAACGATGTGCGTAAAATGACGATCCACCATAGCGATGACATGTCATACAACGATCTTGTTTTAATGATGCAACGAATATTTAAGCTTCAAAGTTCAGCTAACATATCGTTGAAATATAAGGATGAAGGTAGGCTGAGTTCTTGCATGAATATTTTGAAAACTTGAAATACGAACGCTTCCAGTGAAGGCGACTAAAGAGTTTCATAATTAGAAAAGAAGGTAGAACATTTGTGATGAAAGCTTCAGTATGTTCTTGCTGTCGCTTGTTGACCGACTACGCTTTGTTATCAGTCATATGTTGAGGTGCAGAAATTCAGTTGTTCAAGCCTAAATTTATCTAAGTTTCAAATGGTTTAGTTAATGACCTGGGTCTTTTTTGGGAAATGGAAGATATTTCATCGCGAATTATTGTACCATCCACAGTATATATATTAGTTCCGATTTACATTGATATTACAGATGGTGATTATATAACATTGGCGGATGATACGGATTTGTTACTGGCACTTCAAACGGAAACAAAACTTTCGATAATCGTTTTAAGTGATGAAAGTGATTCTACTCAAGTAATGAAGTAAGTAACTCTAGTAAAGCAAGTAACAAAAAATAAGTGATGGAGTTATCTCATACAACTTATTTGGATAATTGGGGAACTTAACCAGATGCCGTAAGAATCTCTTTTTACAATCAGCATGAATAGCACAGGTTTTTATTAATTTGTTGGATAAAGAGGAGAGGAAAAAGAGGAAATGCGAGTTATTATTCGGGAAAAAAGGTTGGTCTGGAAAAGTTTACTTGTTTAATTCTTAACCATATCTGTTCTTTTTTTTGCAATGAAAAAGCTCTCTGATGTGAGCAGTTGATTAGAAAATAGATAAATCAGAAATGGAATATGCTACTATGCTTGAAGTCTGTAAAACAATACTGCAAACAGCTTTGAAGGATTAACAACCTGAAGGATTAACAAATCTTTGGTCATAGGAATTGGAAGGAAAGATGGTATTCCACTGCTTAATTTTAGATTAGAGACTCAATTAGAAGTAGTACGCGATACAGCCACTTCTATTCTGGAAACGTTGAAAGCAATTAAGATTGGTACCAAAATGAATAAATGTGAAGTTGTCAGAGAATGTACCATTGGTAATTTGATGAAAAATAGCGAATCAGTTGCAACAATCCAACCATCTGTCCATGAACAGGTAGATTTTGTTGCTTTTATTGAAATTACTGGAAGCTGATTTCCCACTTTATGGTGATGATTAGTTTAAAAGCATATGAAACTTTTAATACAACTTATTAAACACGGAGTTTTTTGTTTTTTCTTTTTTTTTGCTCTGCTAAAATGCCAAGTATTCTAAAATTTCTCAAAAATTATCCAGTGTTGACACTTCTTTATCATTACTTCAGAAATCCTAAGATTATTTTCATTTAGCAAAGTTTTCTGAATAAATTCAGGTAAATAATTTAACATCAACTTATGGTGCACCTCTTTCGGCTAAAATTGATTCATCCAACAAAGACGCTCCTCATAGAAAGCTGATGGATGGCATATCACTACCACCAACCACACCAGTTGATGTGCAAAATTCTCAGTCAGTCGGGCATTCTACATCATCAAGAGAAGGTTCACACAGTGAACCAAATACGGAAATTGATATATCATCGAGCACTCATCTCATAACTTCATCGTTTCCTCCTACACAACGCGGTAAATTTATTTTTCAAGTGAATTTTATTGGATTATTTGTATTTTTCTTGCTTTTGTTGATCATTTTAACTATCTCACCATTCGCTACAACTTCTAAGTAGTTGAGTTTACTGTACACTGAACACAACTGTATAAGGATATTGTATGTGGACCTTATGTTACTAACTGCTGGAACTGCTGGAACATTCCACTTCACATAATGGTATATCTATTACATGGTTATTTAGAATACCTAACTTAGCCTTACAAAAAATTATTTGCCTAGATCTTTTAGCAATGTATTCTGTTGTATTTGTATACAATTACTGTTATTATTTTCGACATACAGCAAGATGCCCTGTTCATATTTCATAACTAGGTTATTTTAATAAGAAAAAGTTATACCGTATAGAAATTTATATTAATTTAAAAAAAAAAAGAAATGAAGCAAAACAAAACAGATTGTACCTTTCAGAAGCGGGTGATCGTATTCCCCCAGCACCGGCTCCGAATTCTTTATTGCCTCAAGCTCTTCCGTCTCACTTAGTACCGTCAGCTCCAACAGGTCCATTGCAAGCTGGGCCACCATCTTTGCCACTTCAAACACAACTGCCGGCAATAAATGCATACGATCAACAGCAGCCAAATGCACCAATTTCTGCTCCACAGTCGGAATACCGCTTTGGTATGCCACCCCTGAGCCAGAATATATCATCTTATGGTGTCTCAGCTTCGCAACCGCAACAACAACAACAGCAACATCAGCAGCAGCCGTTTGGCAATATGATAGGCAGTGCTAATGCATTACCGCAGCCACCTCAACAAGTACCACTTCAGATTCCACCAGCCACTGTGCCTGGTACACTACCACCACCAGCATCATCAATGCCAGTTTCTGGCCTACCACCGACTTCCGGATTCGACGCACCACCAACTTCTTTCGGTACACAAATGGTCAGTACTGTAATGCAGTCGCAAACTTCACCGCAGCAGATGTCCTATTCAGGAAGCCCAGCAACTCTTCAAAGTTTCAATCCAACGGCGGCAAGACCAGGTTCACAGTCGGGTATTTTTATGGTTTACATACTTTTAGTGGTGTAAGCTTATTTCTATCTAGAATTTTTTGATAGAAGTCGGTTGAAACAATGCGGAATTGTATGTCAAGGTGTGACAGGACAACTACTCGGAACAGACTGGAATGATATTTAACATCTATCTGTTAGGTTAGGCTTGATCAAAGAAATTAGCAAGAGGTGGCGAATCTGAAATTAGCCATGAAATCGTAGTGTAATGAAGGTCTTGGTATTAAATCCCAGTTGATCAAGACACTATTTTTGTTCGCTTTTATTTGATTTTAACATTAATCCATCAGTCATTGTTCTTTAGCTAACACTTTACTTTCCAGGTATGTCACCGCATTCGATAGCTCCTCCACCATCCTCAATCGCACCTCTTGGTAGTTTTGAACGTAATTCACCAGCGACAGCTGTTGTGCATCCCCCCATTGGTCTACCACCAACGATGCCGTTCGGTACGGCCGCAGGTGCTCCAAATCCATTTGCTCGCGGTACACAGCCTTTGCATCACATGCGTTTTCCGTTGCAGCCGTCCGGATATTGATTTTGTCTTTCTCCTTCCGAATGGTAAATGAAAAGAATCCAAAAAATATGTTCTCATGTGGGAATTTTCGCCTTTCTTTTATTATTTCTTGCAGCTGTTCCTCACTACAGCGGTCATTTATTTTATCTCTTTCCATTTGTGTTTCTTTCTTTTCATAAATCTTCGTAATTTCTGTCAAGGAGCTGTCTATTTTTATAATAGGGCCTGTTTTCCTTATTATTTATTGGGGCTACTACTTTGTTTTATGGTTTGTCGTTGTTTAGAGTAATTATTACAATAAAAAGTTCTGTGATATTAGTCTTTGAAGGCAATACATTGCATGTAATGGTTTTTATGCCTATATTTAAATACACTGTTTTCTGCTTTTTCGAGCATGTTTTGAAAGAAATAGTGGATCACAGTAGGTTTCGTTGCTGAGAGTAGAGTTGACTAAATTTTTGAAGGATGGATCCGGCGAACTTTATCATTTTTCAGTTTCTATTTATTTCCATTGTTTTAGACTGTCTCACAAGCATATAGCTTTTCACTTCACGAGTTGCTTGAGTAAGTGGTTGTTCACCTCACTGTTTTGATCGTCATGCAAAACTTGACATTTGATGAGGTATTTTTCTGGCATGGGTACATTTATTGCAGGGTAATCCTTCCTAATACTCTGCAATTACTACCATTTACCAGAGTAAAGTGGTCCAACCCACATAATTCAGTAATCTGGTTTGCTTCGGTACATTTTCGTTGCGTTTTATTATAATTTGTGTGCAACTCTTATGTGTATTTATGAAAAAAAAAGAAATTGTAATGATAAAGCCAGGTTTCTCTCCATCGTTTTTCCCAAATTATCCCATTCTTAATAATGTATTAATCCATTGTTTTTATTGGTTTCAACTATGATTGTTTTCTTGCTAACAACAAAAAATCCTGTTTCCATTTTGTTGTTTACCTCTTTGCTAAAACTTAGAAATTTTAAGAACGATCGATTTTTTAAGTATCACCAAATAATAGTATGCACTAACTAGACAATCTTTTGAGTGAGGCAGACGCTTTCATTCATCTTAGCACTTGGTCTTTATAGTTTATTTGATCCCGGTTATCTTCATTTTTTAATTGATTGGGTTCGAATGCTGTGAAGAAATATATTGCATCCCGTAAATGATTCATTTTCAGTTTGTTTCTCTCTTTACTTTTGTACTGGACTGTTTCTCAGTCCTCTACAAGTTATTTTCCATTTTTTCGAATCCGTTCATTAAAAAAATGTATGATTTAGCGAAGTTGATTTTCGGTCTAACCCTCTTTGTTATTCCTTATTTTCAGTTCCTTAATTATGTTGCAATTGTTTCTGATGTCTCAAGTTGTCGAAGCTACATGATACCACCATTCAGTTTGCCAAATTCTGTGGTTCTGTTTTTTCCAGCTACGCCATCCTATTCATTTACCGGTTAGTACCGATCGCTCACTAGAACTACACTGACTTCCTTAACCGATTTGATTTGAATACATAACAAACCCGAAATTTAATTGGACATGAACACTGAACAGTCGAGAATGGGATGAAAAATGTTTTTAAAGAAGCTTATAATTTTTTCGATTTTTATCAAGATGAATAAATTTTTTGATGAGTTCCGTTTGAACTGCTCTAATTCGATTGAATTAATTCGACATTAATGCTTCAATTTTTCGTTTGTTCCAAAATGCTAGATTAACTTGAAAAATAAAAAGTACGGGAAATGCTTGTTTTTTCATTTGAGAGAATGATGCTAAATTGAAGTAACACTTGATATAATCAGAATCAAGAAATCCAATTTTTTTACAACTCAACAGTTTTCATTTTTTTTTTTGTTTTTCTTTTTTGTTCCATTACCCGAACTGTTTCCAACATTCCCTTCTTCTCCCTGTAATTCCCCGTTCTTGCCGTTTTTTTCTCTGTTTGTATTTTATTGAACAAGTTATATATTCCTAATTTTGGAGGAATTCTCTAACATCTGACATTGCATCTGAAAATTGAGGTCAATGTTCCAGTCAGATTGAGGCGATACGTAACTGATGACATCAATGACGACGACCTTGAAAGCTGTCGTTCTCGTTGGTGGTGCACAAAAAGGTAGGGCGAATTAAAATTTGGCATTGTCGTCCATTGTCGGAAATCAACATTTCCTGAAATTCAAGTGAAAATTCCTTGAAATGCTGCTTGCAAGTCTGGCCGTTATTTCTCTCTACGCTTTTTTTATATTTTTACCAGTTCTACTGATTGCATACGCTGTTTCCCGTTGCCCACTTCGTCTCTGATTCACCCTCGTACGTTTGCATTCAGGTACACGTTTTCGACCACTTTCACTACAGCTTCCGAAACCGCTATTTCCGATCGCTGGGGTGCCACTTGTCGAACATCATATTGAGCAGCTTTCAAAGGCAAGTTTTAGTGGTTTTGCGTCTGGTCATTGCTCCAATGTTCAAGGAACTTGGCGATATGCTTCTTAAATATTGCCTTTGAAATATTTTGGGAATCGTTTTGTAAATAAACGCAAACATCATTATCAGATACATCCTGCACACGCTGCACACGAATTTGAGTGAATTTATTGGAACTCTTAAAACCTTGAAACATAAAATGCAGTTACATATTCATGAAATGCAGAAATATGTCAGTTCTGTTTTTATCAATGCAGATGAGAAACTTAGAATTTTGTAGAAGTTGGAAATTTGGAAATTGATATCAGGACATGATTTTAGTTTTAGTTGGCTGCAGTAACGGAAATTTATTTGATTGGATTCTATCCCGCGAAATACTTTTACGACTTTATCCAAAAATGTATGGATACATATGGGATTAGAATCAGGTAAATTTCTGTTATTTGTTTGCCTCTTTCATTGTGACAGTATTTGTAGATTTGAAGTATAAACGTATATAAAATTTCAAATTCTTACTGGTTTCATGAAATAACTTTATGCTGCATTCTTCGCTGATTTTAGAACTATTTGTCACTATTCATTTCTGAAAGAAGTTGGAGAGGAAAGGAAGGAAAATTTCGTTCGTAGATTTAACTAAAGTCACTTTGTTCCTTTTTACAAAAATGTGTATTTTTATAGGAAGAAATACCTTGATTTTAGTTACTGCGGTATTTGATTCTTTGATTCCTTTGGGTTGAAGTCAGTAATGACAGCAAAAAAACTTCAGGGTCTTGTTTCCTTGCAGATACCTGGAAGAACCTGGGGCACTGGGCACAGCATGTGGTTTATACCACTTTCGTTCAGTCTTACTTGAGGACAATCCAAGTGCACTATTTGTGCTTAACGCTGATGTTTGTGGTGATTTGCCAGTTGCCGAAATGGCCCATGAACTAATCGTGAAACATAACGCTCATGGATTATTACTCACAACCGAGGCTACCCGTGAACAGTCCATCAACTATGGCTCCGTCGTAATTGATCCGAATGGAAAGGTTAATCTGTAAAATAAAATACTAATACTGGTGTTAGTAATCACTGAACTGGTATCGGAAATCGAAATTCTTATGAGGACATATCAAATTTTCAAGAAGACAAGGTGTACAGAAATTTCTGAATTTCTACCACTTTGGAATTTTTAATTTTCAAAGAAATTTCATTACTTCTAAGGCAAATGTCTTTTTCAGGTTCTTCACTATGTCGATAAACCAACAACTTTTGTCTCACCGCACATTTCATGTGGTGTTTACTTGCTACGCGCAAGTGTTGTTGAAAGGATTGGTAGAGTACGCAGTTATTCAGATGCAAAGCAAGTATGTATAATTTATAACATCGTTAAAATCTGTCTTACAGAATATAAATAGTAGTAAATTTGCCTCTTAAGCCAAAGTTTGATGGGAAACTTATGTAAGTTTTGATAGGAAACTTAATATTTGATGGGAAAATTGGAAGCTTATGTCTGGAATTCCTCCGATATGTTCGGTCTTTGTTTGATTATGGCTATACTCGAAAGCTACTTATTTCTGTTTAAAGACTTTTAATTCAATATCCGGATTTTGATGGTTTTAGGTTTGGTTTGAAACCGAGATTTTTCCACAGATGGCTTCAGAATCCGTACTATATGCACTAAAAACGAAACGTTGGTGGAGTCAGACGAAAACCGCTGCGTAAGATTTATATTTCAGCAAATGATTACTGAAGTTTTTGAGTGAGGCTTTACTATTTTCTCCATATCTTTTAGTGCACCATATGAGCTTATTAACTGCAGTATATTTTTTTTCAGTGCAGCACTTTATGCAAATCGCCATTACCTACGTTTATATCATGCTTCTGATCCATCACGGCTATGCCATGACAGGGCACAAATCATTGGTGATGTTTTCATCGACCCCACTGCTGAGGTTAATGTTTGCCAGTTTGGTTTATTTGCTTCGATTGACCTCTCATTGTATTCTTTGCATGAGTGCAGTAGTAGAGATGAGGCCATGAACTAGGGATTAAATGAATTAAGTTTTAATGAATTGTTCTAATCAAATTTTAATGAACTAAATGAATTAAGCCATGAATTAATCTCCACACTTAAGCTTCAGATTTTTTTTTGAATAAATTTTTATTCCAGGTTCATCCAAGTGCAAAAATAGGTCCGAATGTGAGTATTGGTGCGAAGGCAAAAATTGCAGCCGGTGTCCGTGTTCGTGAAACTATTGTTCTAGCGGAAGCAATAATCAACGAGCATGCCTGTGTACTACATTCAGTAATCGGATGGCGCAGTGTTGTTGGTGCATGGGCACGTATAGAAGGTACACCAATTTCACCCAATCCAAACATTCCGTTTGCTAAACTGGACAATAAACCATTGTTCAACATTGATGGCCGTCTTAATCCATCACTAACTATTCTTGGATCCGACGTTCATGTTCCTGCTGAAACGGTTATTCTTAATTCCATCGTTTTACCATACAAAGAACTCACATCCAGTTACAAAAACCAAATAATACTGTGAACACAAAATAATACTGCTAACGAATATTCATGCAGGTAGTTTTTGAGTCGGCTTTATATTTCTTCATTTTAATATTTAGAAGATGTTACGATTCAAGGAAAAGAAGATTTCAAGTTTTATTCCGTAATTTTGATCGCTCTTGAGGTGTGGAACTTTCCCGTCCAGTACTACCTGACTTTTTGTCCCTGATGAGTATCAACATAGCCAGTTAATCCATGGGAGTTACGATGGGATGTTTTACTCTTCGTTAATGTCCTTCTTTGAGATTTACTCAGCCTTATCTTTCCATTTTATTGACTTCCCGCGTTGACTTTTTTGTTTTTTGGAGAAGTTACATTTGAAAGACGAATGAGTTCGAAAGTTCATTATTTCAACACCAAAATTTGGGCACTAAAAGTTAGAGTAGTCCGTTTTAGGAAAACAATTCGAATTTTACAGCTTAGAATTTCAAGAAAATCATGACCCATTACTGTCTCTTAATTACTAATTGTTGAGTGGGATACATTTTGTTATCTTGGCTTTCCATTCGCTCATATTTCCGATAACTTAGAACAGTTTTTTTACGAGATAACAACCCATAACATTTCAAGAACATTTTTCACCCACAATGTGCTCGCATTCAATCATTTCTTCAACATGGAAAAAATTCGGCCAAGAAAGTTTCCGATAGTAGCTGTGTAACTTTTTTATTTAATACAGTAATTAGTTACCTTCCACCGATCATCGATTTTAGGAATCATGTCTTTTGTATTTAATAAATAATTTACAGCCTTTCAGTTTCGTCAGGGGTATTGAGCCGATTTGGCGAATGCCGTATGTTTTATTAAGATCTGACTAGCCTAATAATATGCTCCCTTTCTTCCTTTTACATTTTTCACATTGGGTATTTCTAATACAAAGAAATTATTTATTTGATGTTGGAACACTAATATAATTAATTGGTTATCCACTTTATTTGAATTTCAAAATAGTTTAAACATAATTGAAAGTCCTTACCTTAATTGTGCCTTTCCATTGGTCTTTTCCTGTTCAACGATTTTATCATTCTAATTATTCGCAAGTTTTTTGATTTGTTCCTACTTTTATTTTATAGAATGCGCGTTTTATATCTGCAGGTGAGCTAAATGTTTTTGTAATCGACGCAAGATCGCTTAGCCCGTCTTTGGGTTTTTGTTTTTGTTTTTTTTTTTAAGCTTTTTTCTATTCCATTAAATTATTTTTGTTGTGAACAGCTGTGATACGCTTTCATTTCGCTGAATTGTGTTATTCTTAATTGTTTCTCTTCATGTTTATTTTGTTGTTCTGTATAATATTCTAGTCAATCCTTGTGTTTTATTTTGCGAAAAATAAAGCACTAGAGAGTGATGTTTTGACCGCGTTGAAGAATGCTTTCGCCGTTACACGTTACTCCCTGATGAATTAGGCAACAGAATAATAATGCAGTATGACGTTTTTATCTTATCTACCACTGTGAACGATTGGTGAATAATAGTTGACTCCGGAAAGTGAAATTTGAGATGGCTACCACATCCATGGGAAACAGTAGTTGCGCAAATTACCCATTCTCAGAATCAGGAGATAGTGATGAAAAATAAAGAGACTTTCTCTTTGAGGCTGATTATCAGAATGGGTACAATTCAAACCTGTTTGAGGGGATCTATGAAAGGTCGAGTCTGGTGCCAGCAGACGAGATAACTTCCAGCTGTTAAAGTGCACACTGTCACTGCTGCGATTAAAGTGCTCGTAGTTGGATTTGCCTCTCAGGATTTCGTCCATCCATTGGATGAAGACCGTGCTCTTAGGCTAATATTGCCAATTTTCCGTAAGTTTCTTAATCGATTGTGTATGGTGGCCATTGGGATCTATTTGGTAGGACACACAGCAGGCTAAGAGATTTCAGAAAGCGGTTCAGGATGCCTGAAAATAGACTCATTTACTGAATCTGACAGAGATGATACTTGTGAAATGAACGTGCCAAGGAAGATTTTTAGTACTATATCACACTATCATGTTAGTAGCTGCCCTCATATAGTATCTGTTCTGTACAGCAGTTCAGATTTCAATGAGTCACACCATCTGCGCTCTATTGATAAGTAATGTGACAGGTTAAATGACAGGCTTTTGTTGAGATCAGACTTAACTGAGTGGTGTGAACGATCGATTAGTTGAATTTGCAAGTGTAAAGATTGAAATAAATAAATTCTGAAATTGGCGGGAAATAGGAGTGTAGTGAAAGAGAAAAGTGATGGGTTCGTTTCATCGGCAACTGGTCACATTTACCGTTCTGGTCTTTTTGCACCGCATCCTGCCACCCAATCGATAACTCCAACAAACTTCCTTCCCTAATTATAGTTCCTTTTTGCTTATATAATTGGAAATTTAACTGATTTTAATCGATGTTGATGAATCACATGTCTGCAAATGAACTGTAATCGCAAGACCGCACAGCGCATCCTTGCGTTTTCTTTCAGACTTTTCATTGCGTTAAATTATTTTTGTTGTAAACAGCCGTGTTACGCTTTTATTTCTTGATGATTAGCAGGATCTATTTGATACATGCTGAAGTTACTGGCTAAGATCAAAAAAGACAATTCTGATACGGAATTTCAGAAATCCACCAGAAACTGTCTATTATTTGATCGGATCTTCAAATACGGTGTATCTTATGCAAGTAATCAAAAACACGCACATACACAGACACACACACGGAAGCAAACACATCGCAAAAACAGACAGACAAACTGATGGAC